TCTCGGAGTCGATATTATTGCTGTTTGCGCCACACAAAACCCGAACCTGAGGAGGGCTCACGAAATTGGAAGTGCTCGTCGCACCGTTGCCACCGTGATGGCACAGGTTAACCAGGATGTAGGGGAAAGTGCACCGGCATATGCATATCTGGCCCAGGTACTTGATTAGCTCTGAAATTAAACTAAGCAACGTGCATTGGCAAGTGCTCATGGGCCTGTAAATTGAGCCATGGATCCGGATGTTGGGATTGTGGGATTGGTTGCCACCGATGTGTTTGGGTTGCAGTTGCAGTGATTATTGAGTCTGGGAAACATTATCGATGGCAAAATGGAAAGAAGGATGAAAAAGTAAATATATGACAATTATAGCTTAAGTTATAAGAAGTTATAAGTATCTTTTTTAAATAGAATTTAAGCCCAACGATGCATAGCACCTTACCAAATTTCGTGCTTGCTCTGGAGTTTATTATCTCAATATTACAAGGTCTTTGGCTGACCCATTCGATGGCTTTACATTTCCTTTCCATATGTGTTTTAATAAATCTCTGAAGCAGAAACACACACACACACACATCACAGAAACTGTGATTTAATTTTCACCTTAAATGGCCCCCTCTTTGAATCAACGGCGGAATTTACCACTCAGAAATCACATCAATGCTCTCTGGTCTTCCCAGAGTCACCTCTGACCGATGCTCCTTGCTCCGGGCCCCGCCAACATCAACATCGAGGTACTGCTCTTCACTTCCTACCATCTTTCCATCTCGGAACCCATCCACTTTTGCCTCCTTTCATCTCTTTGTGCCGGGCTCACACGGCGCCCCTCTTCGATTCATCTGCATTGCTCAGTCATGTATGCTCTGCCAACTGATTTGAGCCAGAACCATCGGCCAGGTCCCAGCGGGTGAATCGTTGAGGTGGCCGCACTCCTTGGACTCCATCCACATTGGCTTTAATCAGTGTAGTCGAGCAGCGAGCTAATCGTTTATGATTTAGTTTTGATTCCCTCCACTCCCAAATAACCATAAATCGGACGAGGGACATCAGAGTGTGTGGGAGCGGGATGTTCATCTGATGACGGCGGATCCTTGGGAAGCCCAGCGCAACCGCTGCTCTGTGTGTTTTCGACTATAAAATTAAATTGCGATGTGGTGGAAAAGTTAGAGCAATGCCCAGTGCAGCAACACACACTGTTCCTTACTGCCCCACATTTGGTCAAGCGCTTATACACACACACACACACACACACACATAGGGCCACCTAAACACCAAACACACAGATACGCCGAGAGGAAGAGGAAAAAAACTGCAGTAGTGAACAATTGTTCAGTGCATATCATTTGGTTAAAAGGATTCGTTTTACTCTTCCGTGCGGTTCGGTCCACACTCACACATAGTCAGCATATGGAAGCTATCCCGCCCTGTCTGTGTCTGTTCCTGTTCCTGTTACTGGGCCTGGGCCTGCCTGTGTACAAATCAACTAATCTGCTCCCCACGGCAAAGTTACGAGAAGACCGACAATTATATCCGCTCTCTGCTCACAATTTTTGCATGTCGTAAAGTTTCTAGTGGTGCACAGCGCCAATTCCCCGCCCCATTCTCCACAGTATATGAGAGTATGGCTGCATTTGGCCCTAGCCAGCACTCCAACGGCACTGGAATAGAGCAAAACATACTTTGGATTCATTTTTTAAATGCTCTTTCCCGGTCCTAGTTCCAGGTTTATTTCCCTGAATGTCTGAAGGGTTGCTATATACCTTGCATCGGGGGTAAATTCAGAGTGCTTTATACTTTCCATGCTGTTTTTGTTGCAAGATCGACAAATTTCAGCTTAATTTGGATTTAAAACAAAATTTAAATTAGAAAAGAGGAGAGAAAATATAGAACTTCTGCTTATTACTATATTACACATAATTCTATATCAATATTTTTGACAAGTTGAGGTCCAGTCATATTGATAAATCGACACTGGAATATATTCATGATCACTCATATAAGACAAGAGCAGGAGGTTATATTTGTACAAGTAAGGGAATTCATTCGCAAATTTTCTTATGATATGGGTTTCACCATTCGCGCTATTATATATGTATACTGTCTTTAACAACACCGAATTCAGGCTGGGGAATTACTAAATCTACTAGAGTTACAATTTGCACAATTAGTACAAATTTAGATTCAAGAAAACCCTACCTTCAAGAGAGATAATCGAAGGACTTATTTATTTAATACTAAATTCATAAAAAGATGTGATTGAGAAAATATAACTTTTAATAATTAGTTTTTGTTTAAGAGTATCTGAATTTCGTCAATTAAATAACATTTTCATTTTGTTGTTTGCAATTTCCAATGCTGTTGCATACTTTCAGGAGCAGCTAGCTGCCCTGCAAATGCACACGGATGTGTATCTTCGTTTGCCCTTGCTCCTGCTCCTGCTCCTGATCCTGGTCCTGCATTGGTATCTGTGTATCCTGGCTGCTAGGGCTGTTGTGCCGAGTGTGAATCTGCCCCGGCATTACTGTTTGTATTGCAAAAGTTGTTGTAACTTCGTTAAAATAAGCACTCTGTTAGTTTGCCCGCTGGCGCGACGGGAAGCGTTCTCCACTAGATTGAAGTTCGGGGGAGGAGGAAGGGGACTATGTGTGTGTGTGTGTGTGTGTGTGTGTGTGTGTGTGAGGCAATGCAGCAGATTTGTCGGCGGTTTCTGCCATTACTACCATCCCATCTAGGACACCCCCTGCTCCTGCCCCTCGGCACTCTCCCCGATAGTTGGCATATCTGCATTAGTAATGGTGAGTGGCGGCGAGGGCCAGGCAAATTGGTGGATTGCTGGTTTGGTGGATTTGGATTTACCTGCCCGTCGCCGGCTTTGACAGCCTGGAGTGCCCAGCTAACCCCCTCGGCTCTCGTCTGCCACGTGTGGCAACATACCTGCAAGGCAAACGTAACGTTTAGTTTTTGGGGGCCCCAGCTCCTTGTTGGCTATTAAATTGCAGCAAAACTCCTAATGGCGCTCCCTGAGCTGCTCACTTTCGTTTACTTTCGCCGGATGTATGGCTGCAGCCATATCGATACTGGTTAAGGGTACTAGGAACATCAGTATGCCAGTATGTGAACACCAGAAGAAAATCTTTTATTGAAATTCTACATAAATTTAAAATATTATATGTAAGAGGGGTACGTAAACTACTTTCTATTTCCAAGATTTGAAATGTGTTTTAAAGTAGTAAACCTTTTCTTTTAAGCTCTTTTAGTACCCATTTACTGCGTATGTAAGAAACATTAATACTTACCTGACTTCACTTACTCCTTCATTAATTGGAGAAGTTACTTTTACTTCTTATTTTTTTGTTGTGTCGCAACTGTTGGAGCTCCCTTTAGGGGCAGGGGCTGTTGCAACTGTAGCTGCAGGCCCACCGACAACTTGTACTTAGTGCCGTTTCCTTCCGCCCAACACGGAAAACGGCAAAGGGATGAGGAACAAGGAATGGAGAAGGACCTGGGAAAGGCGTATGTGAGATGGGGGGATTTCCAAAACCCGGCCACGGGCAAACAGCTCGTCGGCAGGGCTGTCTGAAATGCAATTAAGTCGCATCGACATGCAATCTCCGGCGTGGGAAGTCGGGCCGCATAAAGGACTCCGCAGGAACAACAAGTACGACCGCACGGACAGGATTCGCGACCACACTCCTGCACCGGTAGGTAGGGGTCGCTGAGAAAAGCCTTAAAAGCGCTGAAAGGTTTCAGTTATCCCCTAAAAAAAAGGACACGCACTCACACAAGAAGGATGTGAACACAAGCTGAAAAGGGAATCCGGCTTGCCGAGCCTCAGAATACCCTCAAAAGAGCAGCAAAAGTTGGCATTATTTATAAGAACTTTTCTCGGCCAGTGTGAATATGCATTCAAGATATTTCAGCTGTGACTTTAATTAATTTGAAAGGTATTTTTTACAATAACCATATCTCATTGGTTCTTCTTTTTATTCATTTATATTTGGACATGGTTCAATAAATGTATACCTAACCCTTAATGAGGGTTTTAATTATTTTTTCACAGTATAAAAACTTGTTTAATTACTTGAAATAAACAAATATTTTATAAATATTTATCGAGTGAGAAATAAAATTAGTTTTGTTCCTAGAATTGAGTTTATTTCGATGTTTCGACTTCGCGTAAAAGCTTGTCAGCTCAAAGTACTAACTACAGAAATGCCAAGGCCTCCGGTGCTCTACTGAAATATTCATTCAATTAAGGACAAAGAGTATCCACGGATTGCAGCTGCCAAGCAGCACGTCATTCTGGCCCGCACAAACTGGATCTGGTTGCAAAAGAATGCACTCATTGGAACACTTTGGAGTGCCGATAATCCAATTATGGCCTGTCCGGGCAGCTCCTGCAACTCCTCTGGTTTCCTCGTCCACGGGCCCTTCTGCTTCTGTTTTTATTGCGCCAGGTGAGGAGAGATTCAGGAAGCGAAAGATCCGAGGGAGCATGTGCCACCTGAGGCAAGCGCGTCTCCCTACCATAATTTACCGCAACTTATTTTGCCCCGAGTCAAGTTTCACACTAAAATGTGTAAAAGGGTCAACAGCTGCGGGGCCCCGGATGTGGAGCTGGGGCATCCTGACAACGAGTCCTTATGGAGGGGCTAATCCCGTGGGTCCGGGGCGAAGGGATATGGTCTCTCCGTGGTCAAATCTAATCTAAAGCGATAGATAAAACCGATTCACAAACACAATTGTTTAATATTTCTAGCATTTTTATATTTATTTCATATTCAATTTTCCGTTTGTATTCGATAATCATTTCAATTTTTCTTTTACTACTTTAATTTCTCCGGCTTTTTTAATTTCTTTTTGTTTTTTAGCCACTGTATATTAAACCGATAAAAAAAGAAACCAACAACAAAGGCTGGTTTGAATAAACATAATGAACATTCCATTCCATTCCATTTGCTATATATACAATAATATTTGATAAAAATTCCATTTGGGGCTTCCATATTTTTTGTATGTTTATTCCTTTTTTTTGTTGTTTTGTTTTTTTAATGGGATAAAACGAAATAATGGTTAGATAAAAAAAAGTTGCATTACCAGCAGCTTTTCCATTGTGTTTGTGTGGCCATAATTCATTTGCCCACTTTGTCTCATTGAATAGTTTATTTATCCAATATCATTATTATTATTATTTTACTTGTGCATTTTGCATCATCGTCGTGTAAACAACTACAATTAGTATCACGATTGTCATTGTTGTAACCGAAAGAATATAAAGGGTAAATATAAAAATTCCAATGGAAAATGGTGAGTAATGAACGAAAAAACAGGGACGTTTTTATTGTGTAATTTATTCCTCTCAGTTAAATTGCTTGGAGTTGTGTATCCTTCCATCTCCCTTTTGCATATGACACGATTATGTTTTTCTTTATTTTACGTTTTTTTATTTTTTATTTTTTGCCAAACTGATATGTACTTATATATGTCTGCGCGTGTGTGTGTTTGTTTAAAAATTGAGTGCCCGCAAAGTTACGAACTGTTTCCTAGATTTGCTGTTAGTTGTGCAATGTTCTTCGCTACTCTTGTTTAAAAACCAATTGTTAATTACTATCCCATAATTGTTCATATTATTAGTGTATATCGCTTTATATCTGGATTTATCAATAGGTATATTTATTTATATTTAACGTACTTATTGGCCTTGTCTAAGTGGGGAAATGATAGGAAAATAAAACGATAGTCTCGCTGGCCAACTTTTCCTTTTAAAAATTATTATTAAGAGCTTACTTTTCTAGGCTGATCTATGGATATGCGAAAGTGTTGGTTTTCTAGGCTCTAAATGTGTGTGTGAGTGTATTAGGAATCATCATATGTTCGCTGGTGAGTGTATGGTTCAGTGTATGTAATCAATTGTATTAATTACGTTTAATGTTGGCCAAGACATGCAGTCATGCAATGGGACAGGGGAACTTGGAGATTTGCCATCATGCTGGAAGTTTGCGAGTTTTCGATGAAATCATACACAGAATGGATAGGGAAATCCCTGCCCATGACATGACCTGTCCCTCTACTTAATATATATGTGTATATGTATTTAATGTATTTATATAAAACTTACAAGTTACGAGTGGACATAAACCGATTTGCTTGTCTTTCAACTAACTTTATCTTTATTGTTACGGGGCTGCCTCTCACAATTAGCTAAATCCCAAAAATTCGTAGCTACCGATTAGTGTAAGTTTGGTATTATTTATATATGTACATATCATACAAAAACAGGCAGTTGAGTATCTTCAGCAGTTAGCCCCAGAGCTGAGTTCCCAGCACAACTTACTTTGCCGGCCAACAGGGCCAACATCAGAGGGTCATCGTGGTCATCAGAATGGGCAACAGCAGGGCCATGGCGAAGGATAGCAGGAAGATCCGCTGGCCCGAACTGCTCAACGCACTCGCCTGGCAGAGGAGGTCCTCCGGAAAGATCTCCAGGATGGGCAGGTGTCGACCCGATGTCGGGTCGTGGCAAGTGTTGGCACGGGCGCGCTAAGAATGTTATAAAAGATCTGATTATTACCAAGAAATGTTATATGAATAGAAAAGAAAATGAAATGGACGACAGAAAGTTGAAAAGTTTAAAAATGAAAATTGATAAAAGCTTACGCGCATATCGGCAAACGATAGGGGTAACTTTTTCCGAGAAATCAAAGATTGTAAACATTTTTAAAGAGCTTCAAGTGCAGTAAGAGAGAGGAGGTTAAACTCACCTGAACCATGCGCTTGAGGTCATCCTTCTGGATGACCTTGATCTGAGCGGACTCCCGCAGCCACCGTCGCAGCCAGTGTCCGAACCAGACCAGTCCGCACTCACACTCTAAAGGATTGTGCGAGGTGATGAGTCCGCCCATTATACTGCGCGTTCCCACCGCATCCCAGTAGCTCTTGTTGGGATAGAAGCTATCGGCTGCCAGGGCGTTGATGCGATTATGCGAAATGTCGATGGACAGATGCGGTACCTCGCGAAGGTCGTAGAAGATGCCCGGCGGCAGGTCAGAGATGCGGGTGTGCGAGATCTTCACCTGCAGGCGCAGGTTACGTGAGAGTCCCGAGAATACATCCGGAGCTATGGTCTGCACATTGCTGCCGTAGAGCTCAAGCAGCCGGAGCTTGGTGTTGTTCGCCAGCTTGGCCAGCAGCTGGGGCCCAATGTTCGGCTCAAGGCAATGCACTTTCAACTGCTGCAGACCTGGAATCCTGGACACGATTTCACCAAGGTTGGCATGGGAACTGGCGTGCAGGGTACGCAGCGATCGCAGCTTGGAGAAGGCCTGGGGGTTGGCCACCTTCACGTCCAGAATGTTCAGCTCGGCCAGGTGCCGCAGACTGGCCAGGTCGTGCAGGGTTATGCGGCGCAGGGGGTTGTGGGCGAGGTCCAGGACTCGAACGGAGGGCGGCAAGTGCTCCGCCGCACAGCTGGCGTTCGTCAGCTTGTTGTGCGAGACATTGACGTGACGCAGGTGACGCAGCGAACCAAGCGGCGACAGCTCCTGCAGGTAGTTGCCACTCACGTCCAGGTAAGATAGGAGGGGGAGCTTTAGCGGCGGCAGCACATACAGGCCCATGTGGTGCAGGCTCAGCTTCCTGAGGCGGGGCGTGTGGACGAACACCTCCCGCAGGTTTGTCGTCACCAGGGGATTCTGTGACAGGTCCAGGTTGGTCAGATTGTTCAGGAAGCTGAATGTGTTGTCCGGCAGAATAGTGATGCGATTGCGGGCCAGACTGATATCGTACAGGAACTGCGAGTTGATGAACATCGAGGCGTCCAAGTACTCCAGATTGTTGCGCGACATCTGGATGGAGCGCAGGGTGAAGCCGATGTCCGTGAAGGCTGGCACTGGCCACACGCTCAACTGATTGTCGGCAATGTCCAGGAACTCCAGCCGGGTGTTCATGAACACCTCTCGTGGCAGAGCCTTCAGGCGATTCGAATTGATTCGCAGAATCCTGAGCTTTCTCAGATTCGAGAACTGCTCCACTTGCAGTTGGTCCAGCTGGTTGTGGCTAAGGTCTAGTTCCTGCAAACTGTTCAGTCCCTGGAAGCTGCGACGCCTCAGCGAGGTGAGATTGTTGTGGGCGAGGTTAAGGATCTCCAGAAACTCTAGGTCCCCGAAGGCATGGCTCTGCAGAGCTCCTAGGAAGTTATGGGCCAGATTCAGGAACCGCAGCGTGTTGGCCAGGTTCGTAAAGCTGTCTGACTTCGTCACATGATTGTGGCTGATGTCCAGCTGGTAGATGTACATGTAGCTGCTCAGTTCATCGTCGAAGCTGGATATGTGATTGTGGCTCACATTGAGGCGCAACGGAGTTGTGGTATTCGAAACGTAGTGAAAGGACTTCAGGGACAGGGCACACAGCTGGTTGTGCATAAGATCCAAGGCGGCCAGATTGGGCAGCACCGTAAAGGCCCCATGGGAGATATTGACCAGCCGGTTGTGGGACAAGTCCAGATAACGCAGGAACTCCAGATTGTGAAAGGCATGTCGGGCTATGGTCCTCAGGCGGTTAGACTGAATGTTCAGTGTTTGCAAGTCCCCCAGGTTGTTAAATGTTTGCGCCTCCAGGCGCTCTAAAGCATTGTAAGACAAATCGATTTCCACCAGGTGGCTGTGTACACCGGGCTGAAAGAGTCCTCGAGGCAGTGTCTTTAGCTGGTTGAAGCTCAGGTTAATGTAGCTCAGTTCACGCATCTGGGCAAAGGACTCATTGGAGACCTGCTTCAAATTGTTGTTATCCAGTCCCAACCAAATGAGCTGGGAGAGCGGCAAGAGGGCGTCGAGTGGGTCGAGACTCTCCAGGCTTCTAGCCGGAAATACTGCAAACGAGAGCTCTAAGATCTTCAGGGTCCTCGAGACATTCTCAAACACCAGAGGATGGTGAATGGTAATGTCGTTAAAACTCAGGCTGATCTCCTGAATCTCGTCCAGTCCCGCAAATGATCCCAGGTGGAGATGAGTTATCTTATTATTGCGCAGCAAAATGGTTTGCAAATTGCTGCCCCACGAGTCCACTGCAAATATGCCCTCTGGTATGTCCGAAATGGAGTTATAACCCATATTCAAATAGGATAGTTGGGTGTAGTTCTTCAGGCCGAGAACAGGGATCATGGTGAAGTTATTGCCACTCAAACTGAGCACCCGCAAGTTCTCCGTATACGAGGGAAGATTGCTCAGTTGGCTGATCTGATTGGATGTCAGGTAGAGGTACTTCAGTCGATGCAGCCCGGATATGGCCACTGGCACAGTGGTGAGACGGTTCCTCTCCAGGTCCAAATACTCCAGAGTCTCTGTTAGCCCTTCGAAGGCTGCTGGATGTACGCGGCTAATCGCATTGAAGGATAAAACCAGGTGAGCTATACCTGTGGCCTTGAATACTGCCTCCGGCAGCTGGGTCACAAAGTTCTGTTCCAGGTTCAGGGCCCTCAAGTGCACGTCCGAATAGTTGTGCTGAAAGTAATCAGACTCCAGGCTCTCTATACAGTTCTGGCCGAGATCAAGCCGCTCAAGATGCATTCGCAATGGCTTCACCTGAAGCTCTTTCCACTGCACACTCCGCAGGAGATTATCTCTCAGACTGACTATCCGTAGCTCTGGTAGTTGCTCAAACAATTGCTGGGGAAACACTGTGAGGAGGTTGCTAGACAAATCCATGGTCACCAGGGATCTCGGTAGATAGTTGGCAGCCACATGGTAGATCCTATTATTCGACAGATCCAGCCAGAGTAGCTTCTGCAGCTGCTCAAAGTGGCGGCCTCCGGAGGAGCGATCCCCGGAACTGGGTGATGGTGGGTAAAGTGAATTGCTGGCCTCCAGTCGCGTCTGTACCGCCGCCAAGCTTGAGGGCTGAGAGCTGTTGTCATTCTGGGAGATAACATCGATAGCTCCACCGCCCGGAGCCACCTCCGTGATGTCGTTGTCCGACAGATGCAGTGACCGGAGGGTATCCAGCTGAGCATCCCAGTTGCCATCCAAGGTGGTAATGTGATTGCTAGGGGAGTACAGAGAAAATAATTGAAATCTCTTGTTAATAGAGTAAAGAGGTATTTAATTGAATTTACAAAATTCTAACAGGAAATCCTTAAAATTTATATAGAATAGGTTAACTCACCGTTGAGCCACAAGCCTTGAAAGGGAATGTAACCGCTGCAACGCTTCCAGTGGCAATTGTTGCATCTTGTTTCCTGATATATCCAGTGTCATTAGCGAGTGTGTCATCGTGCTGTGGAGCGGCAAGTAGATTAGAGGAGAAGGGCGATGGTGAAAGAGATGCCTTTACGGTTATTATCTAAATCATTCCGCACGAGCGGCAGGGGGACAAGTTATCAAAAATATATAATGGTTAAAACTTTCACTAAAACTTTTGCCGGCAACTATCAACAACTATCCGCTTGGGTCTGATCCCCTTCCCCCGCCACCATCCGGGACAGCTCCTCTGCTCATATAAATTGACGTGCTGCCTGCCTTTTGACATGGCCTACACACAAGTCGGAAAACAAATATTTAAACTTAATTAACGCGTAGCAACGGCGACCCAGGCGACCCCAGCTGCCAGTCGCCTTCTCACTCCTCACTCCTCACTCCCACTTTCCACTTTCATTCCCTCCTCCCGCTGCCACATTCCCCATGTATTTCTGTTTCCACATCCTCTCTAGACCCCATTAATAGTTATACACCCGCACCGCAAACTCGCACAAATACACACACACACACACATGGTGTAGAGTGGACCTTAGTTTAGTATAGAACTTTCAGGCTTGTTTGGGGTTTTTAGAGGTCTAACTAAGAACTTATTCATATTTGTTGAAGGTGAAATTAAACTATAAAGGTATCTGTCTTACGGAAGAACAAGTTTGTATACTCTTGTCATTCATAAATAAGCCAAAAAAGATAATATCCTGTAAGGATATATATACAAAATTAGAGTGATATTGCAACTATTAAAAGCGTAGAAGTAACCAGAGATTAATAATGCTTTTTAAATAAAAGTTTTTAGTTAAGTAGAAGAAGTATATGCAGTGAAGTTTTGTTGATAGAAATCTAGATTAGGACTATGCCATATGTTAAATAATTCATATTGTCTTAAATCTTAAGATATGTAATTGATTTATCTTTTAATCTTTAACCTGAGTATAATAAAATAAAGTCAGCTAAGTCAATTATATTTTGCAAATAAAGTGTTGAATATAATTTTATTCTTGTCTCCTGAAAGGGACACCAAAGTGTCCACCCTAATGTTCATATTTAGGAAACTGCAAAGAGAAAACCCAACCAGAGTTTGGGGCAGCGACCTCAATTATGAAAACCACAAGTTTCGCCCTGCCCTTGACAACAACAACGGCGACCACTACAGGGGAAAGCGGTGTTCCCTTGTAGTCCTTGATGTAGTTGGTGTTGTTCTTTGGTACCGGACTTGTGTTGTTTCTGCGACGAAGAATCAAATGCCAAACCGAATTCGTGTGGCTCCTTTACGCTCATTTCCGCTCCTCTCTGTACGGCTTTCGGTTTCTTTTGGTTGCCACTTACCGGTAGTTGTTGCCGCTTTCCTTGTGAACGGCAAAGGAAGCGGAAACGTGTACGCCATCAAAAAGACTACCGCAACTGATTACACTTGAACAAATGCACAATGGCATCTATACACTGCAATCGAACTATTTAAATAGTTTTTGTTGTCTTTGGAGAATTGTTGGTGAATTTTCCAAGTCACGCAACTATTTCACAATTTTCACCTGCTAACGAAATCATTAGGGAATATATGTCAAGGTGAGTTGTTCATAAAATACATGACCACCAAGCTTTAGAGGGACAACAAATACGAAATGAACAACAAACAAATCGAAGCAAAATGGCAAGAGAATATGTCTCCTTATTTAAGTATGAATTATTAATAGCCTAAGCACTTCAATATTTATTACAACTGTCCATAATCAATATGAACTTGGGTTCTTTTTCGTGAGATTTCATTTTACGAAAAATGTATTATTTCGTCCTGCAATACAGAATCTGTAGGAGGTCTGCACCATGACATTTATATGCCAACATTTGTGCGTAGATAAGAAACAACAAGAGGAACATTTGTTTGTTATATACAAAATAATTATGAGTTAAAAATGCACTTAACTCTATATTACTGAATATTACTGAGTTCTGTGCAGAGTTCTGTCAGAGAATCATCAAGATTTCATTAATACACATTTCCTCATTTCCTATATGTAACAAATGTATTTTTTACCAGCTGTAAAACCCATACCTTAGTTCAATTGAGGTTTTAAATTGCAATATTTTAATTAAAACAGTTTAGTTTTTTGCCACTTCAGTGGAGTGTTTATTTACTCTTTCTCAAAATGCAAAATAAACCTTTCCGATTACGATTCTTTCAGGCATGAGTATAAATGGAAAATTTGAAAAATAAAGGAAATGTGAAATGGGGCCGATTTTAACCACATTAACCGGCTTTATGAGCATTAATTAGTTTGATTTAAATTCTTAATGTCATCGTGTGTGAGCTGTATATCTTTAGCTGCCTCCCTCCCCGCACATTCTTCTTGGCCATGTGCAGTTGGCCGTTAACTGTGGGTATTCATTTAACTTTAGCAGCTTAACGAGTGTGTCGGCAGGCGGGAGCCTGCGGTTAAGGGGCGTGAACCCAACTCTGGTTATCCTTTGTGCTCGTTAAAAAATTTTCGCGTTTCATTTCATGGCAACAAAGAGCATATAAGAAGATGAAGAGCAATAAAAAAGCAGCGCAGGCTGAAAAATGCGGTCGTTTCCCGCCCCATTTTCCTCTACAAACACACACAGCCCCAAACAGTTTAATGAATGAGAAAAAAAAGAAAAGTTGCATCCTCAGTCAAATGTCTGACGAATAATATGTTCGAAATGTTCGATTACTGACGAAATAATATCAAGTGCTTAATACAACCAACAGTTCTCTCACGATGACAGCTAGGAACCATTTCCGAGGTATAAAAACGAGGTAATTCTTCTAGAGATCAGCATCATCATCACCATCAGCAGTTATCAATATGATCACGATTTCCAATGTGACATCGATTATAACTAAGCCAAAGATGCCTTAAACTCAATTTTGATTTCTGCATTGGCTTTTAATGGAATATTATCATATTGGGCTTGAATGTTTACAAAAATTTCAAATTGTATTAGTTTCAGACAGTTTTATTGATAATAAAACTCAGTTAAATATTATATACAATTTTTAATTTTAAATGTTTTATTCTTTATTGATTACAAATTATATATGACGTTTAGTAATCATTGACTTTTAACCCTTATATACCTATATATACCCTATAAGAAAACATAAAATATAAATATTCTTCATATATTAAATGGATATTTTTATATGCTAATTTTTTGGGAAAATCAAAGATCTTGATTTGTCGTAACTAAGCCAAAAATGCCTTAATTTCAATTCAGAATACTATTCTGTGCTAGTTTTTATAGTGCTAACAAATCTGCATACCAAGTTCTTAAATTTAAAAAAATTAATTTTTTGTCAATTTTTCACAAATTTAACGATGTAACCCCTTTTAAAATTTTGAAAAATTCGACAAAATTTCGAATTGTTATTTTTCAACCAGACATGTTTAGATCGATTTGTCTGTTCATTCTGATCAAGAATATATATGATTTATAGGGTCGGAAACGATTCCTTTATGTGTCGCAAGCTACTGACTGAAAATTTAATGACTGGGACATGGAAAAAATTATTTCTTTTTTATTCTTTATTTATTTTACCAGTAATTGATTTTTATAAATAAAAAACTAAATTATAGAAAAATAACTAAAAAAAAATGCATATTCCAATTGAATATAAAAATAACTTTGCCTGCAACAGACGCAGCTAAACTTATATATATTTATATATTACATTTACTTGTAAAAGGTATACATATATTTAATAGCGAGAATTTTCCATTAATACATCGAAATTAAAAGAAACTCTTTTTGTCGCCTCTAAAACTAAATTTCATTTACACTTTAGTATCTGTAGATTAAATTACAATTAAAAATGTGTATTACAAATAACTTCAGCTTTTAACTTCTTATTTGTTTGCCATGATTCGACTTTACATTTACATTATTATTGGATTTAAATGCCTGTTCTGGCAAAGTTTTTCCTCTTTGGTGTTAGTCGTTTAAAATTGCCTTTTTCTTTCTCCTCATCTTGCTCCCTTTCTCTGCTTTTGTGATTAATTACACTCAAACAAATAGCGCTTGAAAGTTTCCCATTTTCCCTTTTACCCACTTTTATTTTTTCTGCTGCGTGTGTGAGTTTGCATTTCCCGCTTGCATTTTCAGCCTGAGTGCTTCGCTGAAAACACCGCGCCCAGTCGCGCTTCCACCCCAAGCCCTCGCTTTGTTAAACTTAATTTTACGCCTTTTTTACAACTTGCAGGTTTATGTTGTAAAAATATACAAAGCACTCACAGACACACACACATCCTCCCGTTCCCGCCCAGCTGGAAAAAGGGTCATGCAAATAGGCCGGCCAACTGTCCTGTCATCATGGCTCTGGCAGGTGCGCTGTGCCCAGGACACCATCATGACGCCGCACACTCGCATGACACTCACCTGAAGCTCCGCTCGGATATATCCTGCAGTTCGTTGTCGATTAGCTTCAGCGTCTTGAGACGCAGTCCCTGGAAGGTCTCATCGTCGACGCTTTGCAGGTGCGTGTTGGACATCTCAATGTAGCGCACACTGCTGTGCATGAACTCTGCGGAAAATATAAGGGATAAAAAGCCACGAATTAGCAGACTAAAAAGGAATATTATATTATTATGCAAGTCTTAAAGGCTAGGTTCCTAAGATCTAATACAGCCATTAGAGGTACGAACTATACTGACTGTCTCCATGTCCTACTACACACATAGATGTTGAATGGACTCGAGCATCCGGAACAGAGCCACAAAGTGAGATACTCGTCGAGATGGCCGCCATCAGTTCATCATTCAAATTGATTTTAAACGGCATTCGAAGCGTTTACCATAAACGAGGGAATATGCCTGGACCATCCCCTATACATAGTAGATGCGATGCCATTCCTCGTCTAACGATGATGGCTTTTGTTTTGGCAGTTTTGATCGCCGGCGCGTTAAGGCAAATGGGTCATCAGCGTGCCATCAGACAATGGACCCGAACCGAACCGACCCGGACCGACCCACCAGAGGAGCACAGGCCTAGAGAAATCCATTGCCCGCGGTGATTCCCCGTTGGCGATGAGGCCACGCTCTCGATTTTTGTGCGCGTTTTCCGGCCGAGCCGTGGGGTCCAGGATCCGGGCATCGAACGAGCAATGCCTGCAGGAGTCAGCAACCGAAAAAACGAACAACAAATTTCGATTTTCATCCATGGACAAGACAGGCCCGTGACATCTTGGTCGAGTATAACAATGAATAGCAACGTATTTCATTTGCTTTTTCCATTACAATTTTCCCGGAAAATTGCCAATCGATTGGTTAGTAAAACATAATGCTTTTAGCTTGGAATCGGAGTTTAAATATGGCAAACAGGGAAACTCTAAGAAAAAGGTTTTAATTGAAATCAGAACACAGAAATTAGTATGTTCCAATATTAACATTATTAGATAATAGTTTTTGATTCTTTGAGACTGGTGTTCCTTTATAGATTTCATTCGATATATGCGGATAATTTTTTATATTTTCAGACTACTAGCTGTTTAAATATTAACAATTTTGAATAGTTGATTTTGGTCCTTAAAGACTGCATTTCTTCTGCAGGTCTATGCGTAAATTATTAATTTATTTTCCGACTAAAAGCTGCTTTTAGGATTTAACTGCAATCTGTCAAAGTTGATTCAATTATGCTTAAAACAAAAAGTTTTTCAACACACTTTTTTTGCAGAACAAATAGCAAGAGAACTTTGCTATTTACAATTTTTAATAGTCTTCACTGAACGTTTTTATGCATTTTGCATGTTTTTTTTCCAGAGTTTGATCTGTGCCAGTCAAACCGCAACAAAGTTTCATCAGGAATCAGTGCGTTTTCACTTATTAAATATTCCGATCCATGGAGCACGAAAAAATTGGCTGCATAGAGCGATTGATTTTTGCACTCTCTTGCGCATTGAATATTTATAAGAAACAATCAATTGTTGGTCAGCTTCTGTTTGGAGCGGTATTTTTTACCCCATTCGAAATTTATTTTTTCTCCTTTTGCTGTTGAATTTTTTGGCTTTGAACTCATCAAATTGATGTTTAATTATTTCGCTCTCTAGTCAAGTTTGTTCCACATTTTTTGTTCTTGATGTTTTTTGTTCCACTCTCCTGCCAAAACGTTCATGGTCGAGTCAATCCCTGGCAATCCCGGCTTAGTCGCGAATTTCGCACTGACTTTAATGCGGCCGTGGTATCTGTGCACAGAGAACACATATGTATGGGAAAATGGCTGAACAAAAATAGTTTCCTTTCTTCGCTTTGCGCTTTCTGTCTAAAAAAGCCCAAAATGACAATACACAAAACAGCGAACCGAACCGAACCGAAAAGGAGGAAATTTTTCAATTAAAAGCGGAAAGTGCATTTCCATGTTGCACGTCAGTTCCTCTTCCACTTTTGCGGCGTTACTCGCAGAGACCCGCCACTCGACCAAAAAATATTTTCCCTGACATGAGATGGATCGGGGTATAGGATGTGGGAGGGGCTGAGTAGGAGGGGCAGTCGATGGGAGGTGGGTGGTGGGCGGTGGCAGGCGGCATTCCGACACACTCGCTCGCTGAATGCTTAAGGTAAGGTCAGGCCATAATTTAAGTTGACAAGCATGACATGGAAATTCCCTTTGGTCGTCTGCAGAAACATCAGCAGCCGTTACCATAATCAGGCTAAAACAAATGCTTCCCCCTCGCCCGTGTGTGTGTATGCCATGAGACCGAGTTCCATGCGAGGAGTCGCCTTGGGTGACCAATTCCTTTGAGAGCTGCGTCCCCTCGCACCGGGCACTCCAAGGACTCCGGCCCCAAACGTTGCTCCTGTTTAATTAACACATGCTCAACGAATCGTAATTTAATTGCGGCTTTGATGTCTCCCCAAGGCTCTTCTGAGTCACACAAAAATGTTGAGACATTGCAAAAAGGAGGGGAAGAACAATGATCATTGGTTATATGTAGAAACTTGAGTCCGGCCTTGAAATTCGCAAGGCTTTTCGATTCTACCGCAGCTGGATAAAATATATATAATATTCTCTTACATTTGTCAGTTTAATGTTTATATCGGGTAAGAAATTGTTATTTTAAACAAATATTAAAATTATACCTTCAATTAGCCTTAACTTTAAAAGTAAGTAGTTCTAGAATCTGTTTGAGTTAAAGTTCTCTATGTACATAGATTGACAAGGGCTTCAGTACATCATTTTTAAACATTCTGTAAAGGTTTTTTTTTTTAATTTTTGTAAACAAAATTATAAGTTCTTTGGAAAAAGAAGCCAATATTGTTGAGCAGCAAAAATTGTTGTCTTAGTATATAAATGAGGATATGTAATTAAAGTATTTTAAAGCGTGTATAATTAGCTACAAAGAAACTAACTAACACTTCAACGGATTCAAAATTCTAATTTTCCGCTAAATAAATTGACAAATTTTTACATTAACTAGTATGTATTCAATTTTTTCAAACAATTAAATTTTTGCTCAAATAAAATACTAATTTAAAAAGATATATTATAAGATATGAAGTTACTGTTTATCGGACTTAACTATATTATTTATAGATATTAATGGTTTATAGTTGTCAAAGTAATGTTGGTAAAATATAAAAATATCCTCAAACTAATGCATTGTTACATAGGTAATTTCGATTGAAGGCTAATTTTGATAGAAAATAATTTAAAATATTCAGTTCGAGGGTAAAATTTTACTATCTTAGTCGAAGGGAAATTATTAAGTTAAGTTTAAACTTAAAATAAGGACTTCTTCAAGGAACTTTGATGATGAAAACTTATTTCCCATACATTATGATACCATTTAAAGTCAAGTAAATAGCTTATTGAAATCGGAGCACTTAATTATTATCATATCCAACCGATAACGTACAGTACATGTTTGATTCTCATTGTTGCGCATATTAAATTGTTAGTTTAGACGCATAAAGTTACATTAAGTTTGATCAAGATCATATCGCTGACACGTTTAGATGGTTGTTTATTCCAATGTCAATGTGTGCACACATACTTTGAATTGCGCTCACCCATAGACACCGTCACATGGCCACGTGCGTAGTACGCCCACCTAGAACAGTAATATAAGCACGGAACAGCTTACATCTTAATTACATATCGCATATTAATACAATATTAATCATACGCCCTGTTGACACGAATGTGCCTCCCCATGGCCGAGCAGCAGCAGGCACATGGCCAAAGTCCAAGTCCAGCGCATTCCTCATGCAGGACAGACCGGCTTATATAGTATATATCCACTAACCGTACAGAGTGTGTGTACGTAAATATACGTACGTAGGAGGGTAGGAGGGGGCGTGTGCATATCTAAGCTGCTATTGCCAGTGTTTTGTTATGAGTGGACAAACCAAGCAACCCAAGAACGACAACAACACATATGGCGTTAATAAACTTCTAGACCCGTGCCTGAGGGGCCAACAACTGAAATGAACTCGGGGAGCGGACACAGCGGACCCTGGATGGAGTTCCGTCCCATATACGTTTGGCTTGTACTTTATGGCCTCAAGTCAATTCTCTGACAAAATGCCAAGCATATTTATTTATTTACTTTTGCTGCGAGGCAGACCAGCGAAGTCTGCTCCTGCTTCCCCTGCTTATATGCTCGTCCACATTCAACATTCAGCGTTCAACGTTCTCGTCTCGTTTTGCGTCACTTTCCAAGTGTTTATTCAACTTGCCCCAGCGTTGATATGAAAAAACAATATAACGGCAACAACAAAGTGTCAGTTGGGGGAAGCACAAGCCAGGGGGGAGCACACACAGATGCAAAATTAATACGACCAAGACCACCAGATCGTCTTGGACTTGTTGGAAATTCATCAAATGTCTGCAAAGACTCCATAGTTTTGTATATTATTTTGTAAAATTAATGAACTAAGCTTCTTCAAGTCGGTTTTTGTGATGAACACATATATTTTTGTTACCAGCTCACCCTTATTTTTTTCAAGACTGTGACTTTTTAAAAGTCAACTCTCTTTCTTATTTTAAAATGTTATGCATAGCTTTTGTTTTCCTTACATGAAATAGAAAATTCAAAACAGTTTCTAAAAACACATGCAAAATGCCAAGTCACTTAAAATGATACGAAATATTACAAAAGGGTTTCTGTATTTTTGGGCTTTAAGTCAACCATTTCAGCAATTTCTGTCCTATAACTAAGGCTCCCTGAAACTTCCAGGCAGTAAAGGCTGCTGTGTGCGTCCGTGTGTTGATGAAGATTACGTCAGCTGAAAAGTTATTGTTTTGTCCAGGCATTCGGAGAGGCAACCAAAGACTCCCAGCCTCCGAGTGGGAGTGAGGGCAGGAAGCTGCCATTTATATCCATATAGTTTGGGCTTGGTGTCGTGCACTGGGCAATAGCCAAAAAATAAGTAGAACAGAAACAGGGCCCAGGAAGCGTGCGGCATGTGGGCAAACTGTCGTCCTTCATTTTCGTTTTTCGGCTGCTCCTAAATAGTTGGGGCATGAAAATTGCGGCCGAATCGAAGCAAGGATGCTGCCATCCAATGCTGCTCGAAAAATGCCTCCGACCGAGAGAGGGCAGGCCGATAGTGAGACATTAAAAATAAATCCAAATTGTAGCTCAGCATTTTTTGTGGCCCCAATTTCGTGTACGGAGCAGCAGCACACAATAGAATTTCAACATTAAATTACGGTCATATTCGGAGCACTAAAGGACCAAATATTCCACTGCGGCATATTGTCCACGCCAGAGACGACGCACCGAAAATTTTAACAGATTGAATGAATTCTCAACTACTCTCTGGGTCCCCGGTTGCAGTTGTCACATCCTCCTGGCGTGCCTCTGCTCTTCTAGGTGCATAGTTTTGGTTCTAATATATACTTTTTTGTTGGATTCCTAGACCACATGGTGACATGCCAGCCAGGAAGTCGATTCGTTGGAAAATAGAAAAAGGAGCGGGGGCGTGGCACGCAATTAGCCAGGCTGTCACCCAAAGTGTTTTCAGCTCCTCCTCCTCCTTGCTCCTGGTTCCTGGCTCCCTCTGCGTCCGTTTGCATTAGAATTGCTAATTGCCAAAAGTTTCCCAACTGCAACATTTCTTCTGCTGCTCGAATGCATTCGTTGTCGTTGACATCACCATCAACATCGTCGTCCAATATAAATGAACACACATATCTATATAAACTTGATTTAAATTAAAAAACATATACACATAAAGTAAAGTGTCTTCTTGACTTTAAGAATTTGTGGAATATCTTTTTTGAGAGTCCTTTGTCTCGGACACAAATTCGGATTCCCGACGTGTTATTCGCTTTAATTCGATTTGTCGTAATATCTTAAAGTTTTTCATTAAAGCAAAAGCCACTGCAGATGCAATTGGAAAGTTTTGCATAAGAAACGAAGGATAAATTGCCAATGCGGAGTGGCCACTTCTGCCGGTTCTTGGCCCTTCCTCCTTGGGGGAAACCACCGAGCCAGAGACAAACTTTTCAATAGTACTAGTAGTCCTCCTCCTCCTCCACCCTCTCAGCCATCTCTATTCCCGTTTGCTGCCAATGTCTGCCCAATTTTTGTGTGTTTTGCCAGTCAACAACTTTGTTTATTATTTTGTTTCTTTTATTTTCATTTTTTGGAACTTTATGCGGGGCAACTTTTGCCCAAAAAAGGCGACTCTGTGGGCGTGTCACAGTTGTTAGCGACGAAGAAGAGAGCGCGCGCGGGTGCCGGAATGGTAATATTTCCAGCACAGGACTCGCACACACAAAGAGCGAGGGAGGTGGGAGAAAAGCCACAGCAATGGGCAACATTGGAAGTGGAAAATGACAATGGAGCTATGGAAACTTGCCATTCATTCATTACTTAAAAGCGGAGGCACAGCCACGAATGCTTTTAGTTGCTTCTCCCGACTATAATATACCAACTAAAATAATTGTCATAAAGAAGCATTTTATAAAGAAACCTAAAGAGGTTCTTTCTTCACTGATTACTATAAAAGTCTTTTATAATTTTCAAAAAGTTCTTACTCAAAAAGTGTGCCTTAAAAGAACTAATTAATAAATAAACATATATCCCAATCAACCCTTCTTTATGGGTTAGGTATAATAACCTTATTAAATGCCACAAAACAACCTACTCTCCTCTGAGTATAACTCGATGAAAACTACAAAAAAATGTTGCTGCGAATTCGCCACAGCAATCGTTACGAAACTTTTGCATAAAGGAACCGAAAAGGAGGCACCGAAAAAGGACGAAACAAGATATAACAAAATGCAACTTTATTTTTACAACTAATTGGCAAACTTAAATGTAAAATTTCATTTTATTTGTGGAGCCTTGACAAAGCTGTTTGAAACTTCATTAAAAAATTAACTTTTTCTTTGGCTGGGGCAGTGACACGAGCACAAGGATCCAAACACAAGAGAATGGGTGAGGCCAGAGAGCCAGTGTCCTGCTCTGTGGTCAAGGCGATTTATGACCCACTGGCAATGAAAATATTTGCCACATAAATAAGGCGTGACAAGGGTGGGTGGGGGACATATTGACGGGCGATACATGGGGGTGGGGTGGGGCGGTGTCACTTACCTGGAAACTTGTAAAGGGCCACCTCGTTGCAATTAATCTCAATCAAGGTGCTTGTCTCGTTGGGCAGGCCGGCACACTGGCACATCGAGTTGAGCGGACAGGCGTAGAGGATGTCCTGTTGCTGGGAGCCCAGTAGGGCCGCGGATCCCCTGCCGCCCGTGGGCGGAGGTCCTCGAGCCGCGTTCCTCGTCCTTCGCTGGCCTCCGCCGTCGAACTGCCAGCAGTGCGAGGAGCTCACCAGGCACGAGATCAGGACCATATACAGGTGCATTCTGCAACGAAGAAAAAGAAAGGAGAAGCGGATGCTGGTGAGAAAACTGCAAATGCATAGATGGAATCTTAAAATCCAGTGGCCTTCACTCGCCGGCTTTTATTCCGTCACGTTGGCCCACATAAATCCACCGTGTGGAGACACCTTGCCCGCGCGGCATTTGTTTATTCGGAGTTGCTTTGCATAAATCACACGTTTGGAAAGAGAAGGCAAATGAAATGGCATAAAATTAACGTTACTCTACACGCGCAGAATAAGCACACTGACACAATTATAATTAAAAATATTATTAAAATAAAAACTTTAAAAATAAACCATGTTGATAAATAACCCAAAAGGTTTTCTAGGAAAAATTCTTTTCAAGGAGAAATAAAGTATCATTAAGAGAATGAATATCATGATTTATTTTTGCAATCTGCAAGTTAAACACCAATTTTGATTCACTTAAATTACTTAAGACAACATTTTGTGATCCTAAAAAAATCTCATTTAAATAAGTTAATTGTTTTCTTGATACTTTTGAACCAATGTTGATATTTTGGCTAAAGCAACCTCTGCCTCCCCACGCGACAACGGAGGAAGTTTTCGACTAAAAGCCTGCGACAACTCATGCAAATGAGCCGCAGTCGTGTGACATTCTCCCTCCAAACCCTACATCCACGGCCATGCAATCTTTCAAACACATGAAAACGCCTAGCCTTATAAAGGGAAATGTACTGGGGAAAAAATATATTTAAAAAATCAAAAGAGAAACTAACTTCGGGCCACCGAAATTTATATAGCCTTGCAGTTGAAATTGATATATAGGATGAAGTAAGAATTTAGTTATTAGTGAGCTAGAAATAGTTGCAAGCTATGTTTTCATATGCTGATCAAGAATAAATATACTATACAGGGTCGGAAACGACTCCTTCACAGCGTAACAAGTTGCTGCTTTAATTTATAATACCCTGCAAAACGTATAAAAATAGTAATTTAATACAAATTGAAAAATAAAGAAGTGAATATCATATCGTCATAATCATTAAAGACTTGATTATATTTAGGCACTTTTAAATCTATCAAAATATGATGAAATATTTCTCCGATTTAAACCCAATCTTTACAAGTTCTTCAGAACAAATAATCACATTATACAATCAAAGATTCCTTAATTACCATACCTTGTTTTCTCAGAGTGGATGAAAGCCAGAGAAAAGTGCGCAACCACAACACGTAGAGGCCTCAACAGCCACAGAGAAGTCGCATATAAAACATGCTTCATGTACGCTAGATGTGTGATGTTTATTTGACACGCCAAAGTATATAATAACAAATAAAAACTTTCGGCTTTGCCTTGGATCACCTTGCCATACCAGACGACTAGCACTGGCACTGGGACAAGGGCGAGGGCGAGGACGAGGACGAGGGCGCGGACTAGGACGAGAACCAGGACGAGTACGGGCCATTAGCACGATTGTTGAGCTTTAAGACTCCCGACGGTTTGCCTTGAGTGTGCGAGTATGTGGTACCTGCGCACATTACGACCAGCCATAAAACTAGGGACAAAAAGTGGAGCCGGAGAGACCGGAGAGCTCGGAGAGTCAACCAGCCGGTTGGCATTCAATGCCGCCCCAACCAAGTCCAAGTCTAAGTCGGTAAGTTATATCCCGAGTCAGCCCAAGGCTTCGGCTAAGCAAAATATATATTTTACACATACTATATAAAAGCAAGTTCATAAAAGCAACCAGAAGCATGTGATGTTATGATAAAGGATATGGAATAATTCGTATAATTGGTGGAAAATGAAAAAGTTAAAAAATTTGGTGAAATTTATACAGTTATCATATTTGAAGGCAAACAAATAAACTTAACATTTGGTCATATGACAACAATGAATGTATTTTTCAAGTAAACAAACTTATGTCAGCAGCCAGCTTGAATAACATCTGAAATAATATTATAGAAGGTTCTGGTTTAAGGCAGAATTATCCTATGTATTCTTACTTATTGATTTCAAATTCAATAGTTTATTGAATTTTACTGGTCTTTTGATTTCAAGATAGTTGAATTATTCCATAGGTTCTAGAACCCCAAGTTATAAATTTAGTTCAAATACTTTGCATTCCTTCAATTTCCTGGTCAAATTTAATAAATCTGTTTTGGTCAAATCGTCAAATATTTACTTAATCTCCCAACTGTCATTCGCCATATGCACTTAACATAAAATTCTGGCCAGAGACCGTGAGAGAGAAGGAAAAGCAATCAGGAAAGCTTCAGCTTGCCGCCCGGCACTCTTGCTGATTGTTTTTCATTATGCTGATGGTGACAAATCGAAGTCATTTTCGTTCGCCTGGACGATGTAAAACAAATGATACATCACACAGTTGAGTGCGTATATATAAGTAGTATCAACCTTTTGCACCTTCCTTTGCACACACACACACACAGAGAGACACACACGGGGTATCTCAGCAGGGACAAAAGTCGAAGATGGCAGGATGTTGGACGGCAGACGACAAAACGACAAAACGAAAAAGATAAATATGTCGTAAAAGTTTTTTATTTGCGTTTTATTTTTTGATTCAGAAAATGACTAACTTGTTGGCTGACAGACAAGCGGCAAACAGGCAACGCCTTGGGCCAAGAACACAGGGGGGGTCCCAGGGCGGGCCACAGCTAGGGACACTTCTGAGATGGGGGAGACAGGACAGGCCAGGGTAAAGACAGTCAACAGCAAACGTCTGTCACGCACAACATCCCCTCTGTCCAAGGTCCTTGCAGATGCGGGTTGCCATCTGACCCCTACTTAGTTGAAAAAAACTTTTTAAAACAAGCAAACAACATTGTTGTATAAAAAAATGTGAGTTCAGTGAGCAGAAGCATAGATACTCTATGAAAATATTAAAAGTGGCACATTGCCCATTACTATTCCAATCTAAATATCATCTAGATTTCAATTCAACTGTAGAAAATTATGCATATATGCATACATTTTATCAACTTATTTCTCTTTCAGGAAATATTCAAAATTATCTTAGAGTATAGTTAAGATCAAACTACATATTAAAGTGTCAATGTGCAAGCCACCCACTCCATTTGCCTTTGCCACCATCATCTTCCTTTGAAGGGAAGGACGAATGCCACGAAAAGGTCAACAAGAGGCAGGTTGACTGGATTGCCGGGCCTGGCAGGCAGACCGCAAGTTTTTATTACGCATATAATGCCAGCGATTTGCCCAAAGGAGTGCGGGTCCTGCTGCTGCGGCGACTGACTAAGGGCGGATCACAGAGGTCTGCATCATTTTTATACTTTTAATTTTTTATGCCGGTGACACAGTGACATGAAATGTCAACGAGCTGCAAAACAAACAGAAGCAAAAGTAGCAGCACTGGCAGCAGGAGCACTGGCAAGAAGGTTCTGGTCGAGGACCAGGATATATGTATATGAAGAGCGTCCGTTGGGGATGTTGTCCTGCTAGTTGGCGCAAACGCTGACTGCGCTGCTGGCGGCGGGCAGCGCAGCAGGAAAAATGCTGAAAAACGTAGCATACATTTGGGAGTCGTTGGCCCACAGCTCAGCCGCCTCGTTCGCTCGCTCGCTCGCTCTATCTCTGTCGAAAATTTGCGAGTTTGTGCGATAATAACATATGTAAGTTGCTTCCCTCCGCGCCTCTGTGTGTGTGTGTGCGAGTGTGTGTGTGAGTGTGGGCTTTTTGGCTGTGCTGCATATATAAGCATGTCGGTTTTAAATTTAGCCTTATAAGCTGCTCCGGTTTATGCTACTGCAGGAGCTTTTCCGCAAAAAAAGTACAAAATATACAACAACAAAATGAAAAAGAAAATGTTTTAAAGCCGACGCTCAGACGGGGATCAGAACTTTAAGTGAACTTAACCAAGTGTGAGTGCGTATTTAACGCAGCCAAACATGAAAAAGGTCTTGGGTGTGTGTGTGTGTAGAAGGTGTGCGCTTCTTTCATCCTGCCGTTGCAAGCGGCAAACTGTATCCTCAAGATACATTTCAGTTAATCGGAGTCAAGCCAATTAAGGGCACGGCAAAGTTTAACTTGTAATTTTTTTGTTGTTTTATTTGTCAGACAGAGTGGCCTAATTAAGTGGGTCCGTTATGGTTACTTAAATATTTAATGGGTGACAGACGTCGGTCGGTTTGTGACCTTTTGATTTGAACACAGGTTCATGTGAGTGCTTCTAATAATTATAAAGTTTTGTTTAATTTCAACAGAGTTCAGTGGCTGTGTAAAGTGTTTTTAAAACAATTAATTAGTCACAATAACAATGCAAATGTTCATGATTTCCCATTCGGTGTAACATAAGCACTTGCAAAACTTTTCATGCCCATTTTCCACTCAGGCAGCCATCCATTCAACTGGCTTAGATTTGCTGGGAAACCATTTTAGACTACTTCTTGGCCATATCTCACACCTTGACAGATGCAGGACCATCCGTCTTCCGAATTGGACGTGCACATATGCAGCGGATAACTTTAAGATACATTCATCTTGCGAGGCATTTTAAAAAGGAGACTTGCCTCAAATGGGGTTCGGCTCTTCGGCCTGGTCATATATAAATCACACCCGTCCGCATACACACTCTCACCCACACTCGCACAGTTTAGTCAGTTCATTCAAGTGTCGTTTATCGCTTTTGCTATTTTGGCAGCGCCTTCCGTGTAACTGCTTTTGGCCATAAATAAGCCAATTTGGCAAAGCGTCCCCCGAACCCAGAGCCCCATCGCCCACTATCTGTCCCGGCAAGGTGGTTTGGTATGTATTCCCGGTACTCGAACTGAAATCCCCAAAAACTCGACTTCCCAGCCAGCCAGCCAATCATTCAGTCAACCGGAGTCAGTCAGAACAATAAAAATAAAATTTATTACTCAAAGTTTATGGCATAGCTATAAATGTATCTTTTCTGCTGAGTATCTCAGTGTATATGTATCCATAAATATGCATCCATTCGCACCTAAGTGCGGCGCTGCAGGGGTGCCACATGTGGCGCCCAC